AATGAGCTCAGCCAAATATTTTAAAAAGCGAGTAGAAATTTTGATTTGAGTACTTTCTCGTCACGCCCCCCCGAAAAAAAAATATCGAGCGGAAATCGTAATTTTGAAATAAGTTAACTTCATTTGGATGCCATCTACCCTCTGTCATCAAATGATGCTAAGAGCATGTTTTTCGTTGGTCTGGGCCCGGCAGGCGTGCACCCTCACCATGGGGAAGGTGGTGTTGCCGTCCTCCATGAGGTCGCCGGGGTCCGGGCCGTGGTCCAGGGCCTCGCACGCGGCGCGCTGCTTCTTCATGTTCTCGCGGTGCATGTCCGAGCGGGACGCGTAGTTGACCAGCGCGAACTCGAGCAGCGCGCCAAACACGAACGTGAGGCACACGCCCGTCCACACGTCGATGGCCTTGGTGTACGAGACGGGCGGCAGCGAGGCGTTGATACCTGAAAGAAGGTGCACAGAAATCAGTCGAGAGGCTGTCCAAGGGAGCGCGCCTGGCAGGTGTACACGCTAAATCCTTATGCATTGTGTTGTGCATAAACATGCAGAATTTTATGCAGCCATAAAATCATGGAAAATTTTATGCATAACTATCAGCTTGTACATAATCATGCACAATTTGCACATAATTATGCACAATATTTGTGCACACCTATGGCTATGGCTGTATAAAATTCTGCATGTTTATGTACAATAAAATCGACACGCGATAATGAAAACCGCTCACCTCTAGCGACCGTTTAGAAAACCGCTTACCTCTGGCGACCGTCTGGAAAACCGCTCACCTCTGGCGACCGTCTGGAAAACCGCTTAAATGACTTTTTTACACATTTTGAGATATTGGTATCAATAGAATCAGCGTCTTTCCGGGATCATTTTGATACCAATATCACAAAATGTGTTAAAAAGTCATTAAAGCGGTTTTCCAGACGGTCGCCAGAGGTAAGCGGTTTTCTAAACGGTCGCAAGAGGTGAGCGGTTTTTATTCTCGCGTGTCGAAATGCATAAGGGTTTAGTGTGTACGCATCATTATGCCTGCACTGTGTGCATGTATTGCAGGGGTGCCCTGAGCTGAGCTGCCGTAATTTATGAATTTGTGAAGAAAAACAGAAGTACATGCTGGACGATACCTAGGAAGGTCAGATATATAGGGGCTGGCTAGCTGGGGTGGGGTAGGGTGGGGAGGGGCTAGGGGTGGAAGAGAGCAGAGGAGTGAGGGGAGGGGGAGAGGGAGTAGAGAGGCTACATGGCCCGGATGCCCCCATTCCCGTGGGTGTTCAGACGCCACTGATAATTTTCTTGCTCTTAAGAAAGAAATTAATGGCCCACGCAACTCAGGGCTCAAATCTTCTTTGGAGGTTCAAGGATTCGCGGAAAGAAAGTGGGAAAGGAACGGCGGCCGGCGGTTCCCCGGAGGACGCACATTTCGGAGGCATAGAATCGACATTTCCGAGACGCGCGGAGCACCCTGAAATAACAATAGCGTTGTATTTTTCAGGTTGGCAGCGCAAACGGTGCAATATAACAGCAGAGTTGTAGCGCCGCCGCCGTCTCTTACGTGACGCAAAGAACATTTTTACTTCCGTTTGCTACGCGATGTGTGCGTTGCAAAATAAAGATACGCGCACGTTAGTTTTTTTTTTCTCTTTCTCGACAGAGGGAAACGGAGAGAGGCAAAGCAGGGCACTGAAGCAGGAGGCAAGGTGGCGGTGGACAGGCGGGCCGAAATATATATGTGACGCTCGAGAGCAACTTGCTACGGCGTCGCGGACCACCATATATAGCAGCGCGCAGCGGCGCAGCTCCGGGCGGCAGCACTAGTGTCGGCACTTTAGGAC